CATCTGACTGTATTCTATCTGACCTTTTAAACATCACTGTGATCATGCTTTGAGATAGATTTAAAATTACTATTATAATAAACTATTATAATTAATATTATCCCAGGAATTATTTTTGTTTCTCTTTTTTTGTTGTGCTCTGTTCTCTATATTTTGTTGCTATAGGGTTTATACCTTTTCTGTTTATATTTGTACTCTTGTCGAACTTTGCATAGTTAAAAAAAAAAAAAAAAAAATAAATATATATATATATATATATATATATATATATATATATATATATATATATATATTTTTATTACTCTCTCTCACACACACATATATATATATATATATATATATATATATATATATATATATATATATATATATATATATATATATATATATATATATATATATATATAATAAAAATAAATATTTATATATATATATATATATATATATATATATATATATATATATATATATATATATATATATATATATATATATATATATATATATATATATATATATATATATATATATATATATATATATATATATATATATATATATATATATATATATATATATATATATATATATATATATATATATATATATATATATATATATATATATATATATATATATATATATATATATATATATATATATATATATATATATATATATATATATATATATATATATATCTATATATATATATATATATATATATATATATATATATATATATATATATATATATATATATATATATATATATATATATATATATATATATATATATATATATATATATATATATATATATATATATATATATATATATATATATATATTCATTCATTTTCTTGTCAGCTTAGTCCCTTTATTAATCCGGGGTCGCCACAACAGAATGAACCGCCAACTTATCCAGCAAGTTTTTACTGGAAACCCACATGAAGGCAGGGAGAACATGCAAACTCCACAAAGAAACCCCAACTGAGCCGAGGTTCGAACCAGCAACCCAGCGACCTTCTTGCTGTGAGGTTATAGCACTACCTACTGCGCCACTGCCTCGCAAATATATATATACAGTTATATACACACACTACACATCCTATTTTCTTATTCAAATCTATTATGTAACACTACAATAAACAGTAACTTTAAGTAAGTTAACTAACAGTGGCTAACAGTAAGTATACTATTAAAAATACATTGAAAAGTTTCTTCATTGGAAAGTTTCTTCATGAAACTGTTGACGGCAGTAAATGAAAAGAGCGGCTCTTACATTTAGAAAAATGCTTAGATTTGCACTTGAATTGTTTCAACACAGCAAAGATATCATTGCCTTGAGTTCTAGGAAGAAAAGCTGAACTGTAGAGATTAATGGTCAAGGTGACATCTGATAAGAGGGTGAGGAAGAAAGGGACAGTGTGAAAGATGGAGAGAGAAAGAGAGAGAGAGTGATAAAATCTCAGATAAATCTATCTATAAGACAGATTAAAGAAGAGCGAGAGGGGAGGCATATGTGCAGTGAAAGTTGAAGGTGAACTCACTGTCGTACTGCACAGGTCCACTGTCCACACTTCCCCCGAGACCTGGTTTCTCACAGAAGGGGGGAGCCCATCCACGGCTACAGTGGCAGTTCCCATTACTGTTACACACCTGCATGCAAAACAACACTTTAGAGCTGAATAAAAGAGGATTCACGCAGGATTTTGGTGTGATCTGCATTTAAATATGCCTACTTCTGATAAGCAGTAGATGGAAAATGGGATATAAGTAGAATCTCTGAAATGTTATTAAAATAGCACTTTATTTTACAAACTTGTTACATATACATATGTATATGTACGGACAATATAGTCATAACAGGGTAATTACCAGGTTAGTAGTATGCAGTGTTGTATTGAAGAGCACCTAAAGTGAGACCAAGGCTGTGTCAAAATTACATACTACCATACTTAATGGTAGTATGTCTATATTACTAACACTTACGGTGATATTCTGAAGTGCACATCCGAGGCATGCTATGCTATCTCATGATGCACCGAATTTATAAATGGAAGTGAAGAGACACAACTGCCAAAGGTAGGTCACGTGATCATGACAAAATGGCAGATGTAGTATGACTGAGTTCCATTCTGCTCACATTCATACTGTATAGAACAGACTTTATTAATAATCCAGTAGTAAATTAAAATTCAAATGCAGCACCCACTGAGTAGTAGGCAAATTCACACGCCAACCAAAAGACCAAGACTAAGGCAAAATGAGACCAATTCAAGATCAAGACTAGACTTGCAGACATCAAATTCACTTGAAGAAATATCTAAAATACCACAACATAACTTACAGTATGGCATAACTAATGATTAATGTTTTAAATAAAGATACTTTTATTAACAATACTTAACGTTCAAATAAAAAGTGAATTCACCAAGTTGTGGAAAAACTTGCTAGCAGCAAATTAGTAGTTTACTAAAATAAATGTCTTAGTCTTAATGGGTTCTTAATGGTGAGCTTGATGGTGAGCAAATTCTTAATTTGACCTTGATTGTGCAGTGTGGCCAGATTTATTATTAAAGGTCCTGTAAAGTGCTTTGAAATGTGCATTTTCATTTGACATTTCATTCGAAACACTATGAGATACATAGTGTAGCTCCTCCTCTTTTTTCAGTGGAATTGACAAACTACAAGCCTTACATGTTTATATTAATTTTATATCATCTAAATTTTGTCACTGTTTTGGAGCACAGTAGCTTATAAATATGCTAAACACTAACAATACTGATTTAAAAAAGTAATCAAATATATCAAATATCATAATCAGATATCAGTTATATTGTGACTACATATATTTGTATTAGTAAATTAATGGCAAACGTGAGCGGCATATGTAAAACGTAAATACACTATTTTACAGTAAATACAATATTTTTTGACCATAATCATGAATTGTACATGATCATAATCATAAAATTATATATAATTTTCCTTTAATGGTCTATGCCAGGGATGCCCAATTTTTTCTTATGAAGGGAATACAGTTGCCATGGTTAAATTCCTTATTCATTTAATATTTTACAATGACTAGAAATCATTGCTTTATATTAACTAATACAATATTTTCTATATTTCATAATGGACTTATTTCAGTAAAAACAAAACATTAATAACAGAATTACACTAGTTTTTGCCATGATTTGCTTGCTGATGTCTTCTGCATAGGTCTCTATCCATAGAGTGACGGCATTTACTTTTTAACAACTCAGATTCCTTTACATTTAATTGAAACATTTAATTTCAGTTTGCTTTTTTGGTAGCTCAACAATAAAACAAACATAAAAGGTCACGTCAAATTAAAAATGGCGATCTCTGTGTTAAAGGCATTCGCCCCAACCCTCTCCTTCATTCTCTCTCTCCTCTCAGATGGGATGGTGGGCCAAATCAACAGTTACAATGGGCCAACTTTGGCCCGCGGGCCCTATTTTGAGCATCTCTGGTCTATGCAAAACTTTTACTTCAACCCACAAGACCTCAATTTTAGACTTAAATTTTATAAAAAATGTTTGTGTTTGTCATTTTTAAGCAAAGAACTACGGATGTTATGTCGGATTATATTAATTAGTAGCATTTACAATGTGGAGATCTGACAGCATTTCGAGATCATTTGCTATTTATAAACATCACATCTTGAAGAGAGGTGTTTGCATGGGTTCTTGTGCGCATATTTGTTTACTCTGAATTGCATTTATGCACTTTTGCAAAATTATCTTAAAATAAATTTAGAACAATTCTGTGCATAATTTTATAAATGGCTTTGTTATGACTTCAGGGGCCTGTTGCACCAGTATTGTGTATGTTAAAGCGTAGCCAGTTCTAGAAATCAGGTTAGACGAAAATCGGAATCCGAAAAATAAGGGCGAGAACGCGGCTGGATCCGAAAACGCGGTCGAAATCGAAGACGAGGGCTTTTGCTTTTTTTTTTTTCTGGATGGCTTTTGCGAACCGTCGCTCGGGTTTAGGGAAGGAGGAGGAGGAGAAGGAGGAAGAGGAGGGCGGCCGGGTCGGCCGATCCGGCGGCTTTTCGCGCGAGAATGGCGCGGGCGCGAACGGCGCGCACTCCCGAGAGGTGAAAAAGCGCGCACAGCGGCCTCTCGCGGATCTGCAAAAACAAAAAAACGCTCGAATACGTACCTTCCGGGACGTATCTCGCGGTCTGCAGAAACGTCCGCGGGGCTACGTTTCCACAATGAGCCCGGGTTGACTTAAAGGGGCTCTAATGCCAAGTTCAGACTGCATGATTTTAGCCCCAATTTTGACCTGCCGACAGGTTTTGAGAAATAGCCGATAAATGTCTGAAATCACAGGCAAATCGGTGCTTGTTCATGCTAGTAGCAATCCCACAATGTGAACTATCAAAGACGCACTCTAAGAGACGCGCTGATGAGTCGCAGATGACTGTGAGATATTTGGTGTGCTAAATTGCTGGAGCTGTCGGCGATTCAAGTCATGCTGTGTAAAATGAGTATTGACTGAAAATAACATCGGCGATCCCCAACAGCCAATGAGAGACATTAATTCACTTCTGTGTGTGTGTGTGTGTGTGTGTGTGTGTGTGTACCTGCAGGCCAGCGAAAGGGTTGGGGGAGAAGTTAAATGCGCTCATTTTCAATTTATTTGGACCCAAGAAATGGAGGAAAAAATAATGTAAATTTAGCAGGAGCACCCGTGTCTGTTTGACGTTTCATACAGAAAGTCAAAAAAGAAAGTTGAGGACAAATTGCTAATTCCCTTCAAATTTTCAAAACTAACCCAGATGAGCAAATATGTACATTTTCTACCCCATGAAAGACTTCTTTCTCATTATGTAGTTAATGAGAAAAGATATACAACATGTTTTTGGCTGTGAGACGTAGTTTGGACAAAGTTTCAAAGGCGATTCTTCCTAATGTAAAGTCATGCAATGTGAAAACCCTTTTCGCCAATCCATCTTGCAGTGTAATCAAAGCAGCGACAAAACGTTAGCCCAGATAGTCATGCAGTGTGAAAAAATCTATGACACGACTAGTTTCAAAGTCATGCAGTCTGAACTTGGCATGAGTTGCATCTTACACACTACTAAATATTTTTTTTATTTTTGAACATATAATTTTTTTAATTTTTAAGTTTAATTTTTTTTGTGCTAAATGTCAGAAGACAATGGCCAGACTGGTTCCAGCTGATAGAAAGGCAAAAGTAACTCAAATAACCACTCGTTACAACATCTCTAAATGCACAACACAACCATCTTTGAGGCCAATGGGCCACAGCAGCACAAGACCACACCGGGTGCTGCTCCTGTCAGCTAAGAACAGGAAACTGAGGCTACAATTCGCACAGGACACCAAAATTGGACAATAAAAGATTGGAGAAATGTCACCTAGTCTGATGAGTCTCAATTTCTGCTGCGACATTTGGATGGTAGGGTCATTGTAGTACTAATTGAACATTGTGTCAATGCCACAGCCTACCTGAGTATTGTTGCTGACCATGTCCATCCCTTTATGACCATAGTTTACCCATTTTCTGATGGCTATTTACAGCAAGATACCACATTATGTCATAAAGCGTGAATCATCAAAGACTGGTTTCTTGAACATGACAATGAGTTCACTGTACTCAAATGGCCTTCACAGTCACCAGATCTCAATCCAATAGAGCACCCTTGAAATGTGGTGGAACGGGAGATTTGCATCAAGGATGTGCAGCTGATACATCTGCAGAATTTGCATGGTGCTATCATGTCAATATGGAGCAAAATCTCTGAGCAATATTTCCAGTAGCTTGTTGAATCTATACCACAAAGGATTAAAGCAGTTCTGAAGACAAAAGCGGATCCAAACTGAGTATACTACTGTTTGCCTTAAGAGCATGTGGTGCAACCAAAGAAAAAACTAATTTTGCTACAAACTAGCTAGTAGTTCCGACTAGCTAGTAGTGTGGATTTTACATTTTAGTTGAAGAAAGAATTTCCGAACAGTTGGTACAACCCTACCCAGCTGAACACAAGGATGGTCAGATTATTCTTCTATAAAATTCTGTAAATTACAATTCGCTACAAACAACAGTTGATTTTTTTTGTTTAGTTTTGTTTTTCTTTTTTTTAAGTAAGTTTTAGCTTCTCTAATCATCAGTAGCTATACCTATACGCACATTCATTGCTGCAATAGCAGGGAAGGTTTTTCGTCACGTCTTTTAGAGTAGAGTAGGGCAAATACAGAATATACAGCCTTTCATCTTAATGGAATTTCTTTTAACACAGAATATTTTACACGCTTCAATCTAACCCAGAGGCAAGACAGGAACAGTGGAAAGGAGAGAAAATGTGCTGTGCGCAAATACCACAATCACTCACTTCATTCTCCGTCCACACTTCCCTAAACCATACAATCAATATGAATCAAATGATAATGCAAATGAATAATAGAAAAGCTCTTTCTGAATCTCTAATCTCCCCTCAAAGACCTGTCGTATTTGGCTGCCCTTTTGAAAAGCCACTGGGTAAATAAGCAAGAAATAAAGAAATAAAAGAAAAGCTGACAAAAGAGAGTGACAGGAGGAGGGCAAACAGATTAAGAAAGACAAAATTTGACTTTATACAGGTTGAAGGCTGTTTATAACTGTTTGACCAGAAAACACACAAATCAAATGCTCTAGCTCTACTAATATAAGAAAGCGCTGGTTTTTAATAGAGGCGCAGTATGTGTCAGGAGATGAGCGACCCAGAGGGCGGTTTTAAAGGATTTACAGGTGTGAAATCCAGTGAATGAGTCACTCTGGGTTAAAGAGAGACTCCAAGTGAAAAGCAATACTAATATATAGCATTTATACAGCCAACATTTAGGAGTAGCAATGGCATGTTTCATTTTCCAGCATTTACAGATGTTAAAAACAAACACTGTTACACTGCAAAAATATAACTACAAATATCTAAACTCCACTGCAGCCCTTAGTCTCAGGTATAAAACCAATTTTCTTTTTTAAATTTTCATCAGCTTAGAATTATAAGGTTCTATCTGACATTTTTGTCCAAATTAAGTTATTGACATCCTTATTAAATGACAACTTATTTAAATTATATAATGTTTTTGTGTAAGTTTTTTACATTTTAAAACTGTTTATTAAAAAAGAAAAACAAAAAAGGTTTTATCTACAAAGTCGAACTCAAGGTTGGCTCTGTAAGGTTCTTTTTGTGAGCCAATCAGCATTTTGAATACACACATGAGGACCAATCAGAATTAGCTTTCTTTGTCGATTTAATAGACTGCTCCGTTGAAAGCAGAAAAGACCAGAAAGTAACATAAATCAGTGTCAACTATATAATGCCGCATTACATAAAATTGAGGAGAAACCTGAACCTAAAGAGATGTATGTAATGTGATGATTTAGATGCGTTTTATTACATTATTTAATGATTAATTTTTACATTGTTTAAAAAGAAACAGTTAATAAAAAAGTAATATATTAAATTTGAAATATTTGTATTTGTGTATATTTAGCCAGTGAAACATTTTTTTCAGTGTTTATTACACTAATTTGCTCATTGTCTGTTTTCCTTTAAAGTCTTCAAATTTGATATTAAGCCTTGAAGGGTATTTAATTAATTTAATTCATGGGGTCTTAATTACAATTTAGGGTTTGTCTCAAGCCAACGTATGAAAGAGAAATGTTACATATAGTTTGCTACAAAGAATGCAAAAACTTCAAAACAATTCTCAAAATAATATAGAACGTGGATAGAACCTTATAACTCCAAGAACACTAGATGTTATTGCACTGCCTTTGAAAAAATTAAATGATTAATTTATGTATTTTTGATGACTGGCATTCCTTTGATTGATAGGAAAAAAAAAATGCTTTGAATTGTAATATTTCTCATTTGTTTCTTATGGGTGACCATTTTAGGGTAAAAGATGATTTATTTTTTACCCAGTAAACACTGTTGAATTGAGTTATTTTTATTGTGTGTCCAGATGGTAAGTTAGTTGACAAACCAAGAACTGCTCAGAATAAGGAAACTATATTAAAAAATAAAACTTTTAATTTCTTATTAAATAAATAAAAAGATTTCACCCTAAAAAATGTCCTTAGGGATGCTTGAGGGTTAAAACAAGATGAGCAAACAAGCAAACTTGTTTAATTTGTGTCTTGTTTTAAGCATAAACTATTTTTCTAAATGATATGAAATGTCCAATTCATTGCAGATTACATTGTTACATCATTATATGTAGAGAAGAGTCTGTCTTTACACTGTAAAAATTATTGTCCCTTTATTAATCAGCGGTCGCTACAGAATGAACTGCAAACTTATCCAGTACATGTTTTACGCAGCGGATGCCCTTCCAGCTGCAGCACATCACTAGGAAACATCCACACACACTCATTCACACACATAAAGTATACTACGAACAATGTAGCTTAACTAATTTACGTAAACCACATGCTTTTGGACTTGTGGGGGAAACCGGAGCAACCGGAGAAAAACTACACCAACATGAGAAGAACTTGCAAACTCCACACAGAAACGCCAACTGACCCAGCCAAGGCTCAAACCAGCAACCTTCTTGCTGTGAGATGATTGTGCTACCCACTACGACACCATGCAGCCCTCCAATTAGTTATGACAGCTAATATTTACAGTTATGTTAACTTATGTTGATTGAATGTGTTCACAACTTATATATCAAAGCTTTACTTTTCTGAACTTATTACACTTAAAAAAAGACTCATCTGAATAGTCAACTTCAATATTTATGGTCACTAAACTTAATGTCTATAATGCTTGAATACTAAAGTCCTATCAACATAATTCTTAATTACAACAACTTATCTGTGTAAGTTACTAAACTTAGACCACGTCTATGGTTTGTAGATGCAATGCAACTTAAGTTTAACAAACGGACTATCAAAATAAAGAGTGACCAAGTAAACTTAAATTTAAGCAGGAACATCTACTTTTTAAAGTTTCAAACTTTCTTTTTACAGTGTATGAGTCTGAAGCAAAGAATTTTTCAATTTGACAAAATAAGATTGTATTAATCAGACTTTCATTAAAGCCCATAAATGCTCGGGCTGCAGTTGTCATAAGAGTATACTACTGTGAAATATATTAACTCTAAAGATCATTACAGCAGACATTAACCGATTAATAATAATTATGTTTTAAGGCAGGTACAGTCCGTCTCTCACTTATAATAATACACATAATACAATAAGCTAATACCATCAATGAATAAATCTCCAGCAAAACGAAAGTAGTTCCTCTCGCATGGATTTTTAAAAACACTTAGTGGTTGTTTCTTATTGATCTATACACTAGTGTCATCAGACAGTTGTATAAACGCATACTGATAGCTTTGTGATATGGCTGTGATTACATAGTTTATTGCTGTGGCCTATTCTTCTTACTTTTTTTATATAAATATACATACACACAGTAGAATTACTTACGCCATGTCCATGGCAACGGACAATGCAGGATTCTAGTTCAGTGAAAGAGGTATTTTGACATCGCCGATCTTTGCACACCTGAAGGAAAAGAAAACCAGAATAAATCAACTTCCATGCAAGACATTCATTTAATTAATACATAAATGAAATATTTATTTAATGACACATTCTGAAGACATGTCTCCACCAAATAATACACTTCTAATTAATGAAGATCTAAATAATAATAATAATAATAATAATAACAACAATAAAAATAATGGCGACACTGTGGCACAGTGGGTACCGCTGTCGTCTCACAGCAAGAAGATGCTGGTTCGAGCCCCGGCTGGGTCAGTTGGCATTTCTGTGTGGAGTTTGCATGTTCTCCCCGTGTTGGCTTGGGTTTCCTCCAGGTGCTCCGGATTCCCCCACAAGTCCAAAGACATGTAGTATAGGTGAATTGAATAAGTTAAATTGTCTGTAGTGTATGTGTGGGAATGAGTGTGTATGGGTGTTTCCCAGTGCTGAGTTGCAGCTGAAAGGTGACCCCTGATTAATAAAAGGACTAAGCTAAAAAAAAAAAAAAAATGAATGAATGAATGAATGAATGAATGAATGAATGAATGAGTGAATAATATTAATACTCGCCTTCCCCTCTCCACACTTGGTGCCTGTCATGACAAGCCCAGGGTCTGGAAGGTCGCCCTGCCCATCTTGAGTGCTGTAAACAAAGGTGCCCCGACACTTCACCTCAATGCCGTCTGTCTGGATGGTGGTGTCTATGGACACAGCATTGGTGCCCTTTGGCTTCTTGGCAGCACTGTGGCATTGTATCTTACCACATTTGGCATCACTGTTGGCAGATTTGACATGTGAGACAGAAAGTTCTCAATCACCAGTCATCTTTGCTCGCAGCCATTTCAGCAAAAAGTCAGCCATGGGGAAAGTAAATTAGATAACAGTCTGATCGAAAGAAAACCTCATCTTAAAAATCACGCTGGTTTTGAGTATGATGAATAAGCTGAAAAAAATAGTTTTCTTTTATAGAAGTTTGTCAAATGTAAAAACTGCTGAGTCAGCAGTGCTGTAACTTTTTTAGATTATTTCCTCAGCTTTTTAACACATTAGCTTGTTCTTTATAATGTATTAGTTTGTTCTTTTTAATGTACAGGTGAAGCCACAAGAGAAATAACTGTGCTGTAACAGTTTTAAAGAAGTCCGTATTGCTACTTGCAGAAATTGCAGATTTCGCATCAGGTCAGCAAGTTCTTTGACAGAAACTGTTTATTGCTTATATATCCGGCTGCTTGAAATACTGAAGTAGCACCTCACCTCTTCTCACACTTCATGTAGTTGCCCTTACTGTCCTTGCCGCAGTTTCCAAAGGCATTTCCCGCAGCGTTCACATCTTGAAAACAGGCGTCATGCGCCGGCTGCGCACCTGGACAGATCCACTTATTTAGTTAACACACGTTATCTCTGAGAAATGTGAATTACAGTCAGAGTCTCATAACAGAGCTGTAGAGTAAACATAACTCTACTGGCTTAATGCCACCAGTTATCTCTTCGTTAGAGAGAATGTAATACATTCAAGTGGAAATAGTTTGAGCTTAAGTATTCAAAATGTGTATATGCTACTAGCATTCTTAATATCATGCTATGTTACAAATAATCCAATGATTTAACAATTAAAAATTAGCTGCTCAATTATTGACTATGATAATATCTGTTGCACGCAGAGACCATCAAACACGTCAATATCCACTCACCCTTCAAATGACAAAGTACATTTGCTGTGATCTGTCTGTTTGACAGCCAAAGAGGCTGACTGGACACAAGCCCAGAACACACTGGAGGTGTACAGCCAAATGCCACGAGCTTTCACTAAATAATCAACATCAAGCACTATTTGATCATCGCTGCTGACTAAACACTGAAGGGTTTATTAGGATTAAAACATTATTCTGAAAGCCTGGTTTAGGGAATTAAAAGAGATGTTTGGCATCAGACTTTTTGGTATAAATGAGCATTCAATAAGAAAGATGTATTAAAATATTCAGTTTAATCTAAATACTATTGATTTTTTTTAATATAATTTTTTTAAACATAGAAAAAAAACTGAAAAAGTTACATTTTATGCTCACCAAGGTAGCATTTATTTAATCCAACAAACAAAACAACTATTTACAACTGTTTAAATTGAAAAAAAATAAAAATCATTTTATCATGTTCGGGAGGAAAACATCCACTGAATTTTTTTTTTTTTTTCATTTACAGGATTTTAACTCTTGAATTGCCAAGTTCATAATTAATGTCACTGATTTGGTAAAACAAAAAAACACAAAAATTACGTATTTTCAATATAAAAAGGAATTGTGGACTGGATTTTTAAAATCTCTTATCACATTCTTTGATACATTGTTAGATTTTCAGTAGTTTTGATCAGGACTGAGGTTCTTTGCATAAATCTGTTAATCAACCTCAGTCCTGATCAAAACAATTAAATGTTTTTCTTTTAAAATAACAAAAATATATTTAAAAAAATATGTTAATCTGCTTATCTTTTTTACAGCAGTTTAATTTAGTGGATGTTTTCATCACTAACAAAATGAAAGGTTAG